AAAAAAAAAATCCTATTCCACAGCCAGAGATCCCAGTTTTTAGTAAGTTTGGAATCAGATTTGGAGCAGCCCTGTATATGCAAAGTAGCTTTGGGCTTCAAGGAGCCTCATGCTATCACTGCAATGTGAGTGGGACTCACACCTGGTGACTTGGCCCAGACAGTGCCCACCCTCCATTTAAATCCTATGAAAGCTCTGGAGGATTTGTGTGCTGCTTGCAAAGGTCCTTAATGGATCATCTGCCTGGGACTGAATTTCATCTTGCAAAACATCTATAGAACCCAAGTAAAATGTGGATTAATTTAGGCCAGGGAGATGATTTAGGCCCTGATCCAACAAAGCATTTAAACACATACTTAATTCCTAGGGAATCAGCAGGATTATTTGTGGGTTGAAAAACAACATCAGCATGTGCATATGTGTTTGCTGGACTGGGGCCTTAGTTGCTAGAGTTCCAACATGATCTGATATGCATGCAAGTGGCAAAACTTGTTACAAAAGCGAGCTCCACTGTAAAATTCCATTTTTTCACTATTGTGGAGAGAGCAGGAGGCCAAAAGTTATTGGCATCAGCAAAACATACCACAGAACAGGCAGTCGCCTAGCCAGGACTGAAGATGTCTGAATACTGTTTCTTGCTGCAGACTGTGGGGAATGTACATAGATCTAGCCTAAACACTCAGAGATAATAAGTGACTTACGGAATCTGAGAGCAAACAAGTACCTGCTGAAGCATATGGAATGTCATGCCACGGGGTGGGCCTTTGACACTCAGGTTCCTGTATTTTAGCATGTGAGCTTCTACTATCTGAACAAAAAGACCAAGATCTCCTGGCCAAGCCTGCAACAGAACAGTCAGATTCCGTTTGTAGCTCAAGCACCGCTAGACAGGGAGAAACACTCTCCACTCAGTGGGTGCGGATTATTCCTGGCTCAGTAACAGCACGTGAGGCCTGCTTTGCTATTAGCCTGACCACTTGTACCTGTGGGTTTCTCCCCCAGCACTTAGCCACATTCATCATGGATAAGAGTGAGTCCATCATAACAGTGGACGATGCCGTCCGGAAACTGATGTTGCTTAATTCTAAAGAGAAGATCTGGACCCAGGAGATGCTGCTGCAGGTGAACGACAAGTCCATCCGGCTGCTGGACTGTGAGTCACAGGTATGTCAAAGGCTACTCGAAAGGTACATGTGGGGCAAACCACTGTGCTCAACAAAGGAAAGCACTGAATACCATGGGTTGCATGATTTGGAAATGTTCTTCCTCAAGAAAGAGTTATGCACTGGACTGAATGGGTGCCCAAAAGAAAAACCAACAGCCAGCCAAGGGGAGAGGGTGGCTGTTTCTATCCCCTGGAATGTAGTGGGTCCAAACTCATCTGGCCCCATCGGCTGCATTAGGGTTGCTGAGCTGTGTTGCAAGTTGAACTAGGACCATGCACAAGAGCCAATACGCAAGACAGGCCAGCCAGGTGCTGCATACAGCACATGCCCCTTGCCAGCCCACTGTGCCATGTGCCAAGCAAACCAAAGGGACAGCTGGTTCATGCTGCATGTGATGAGCGTGATTAAACTGGCCACACACTCTGCACAGGGCGGTGCTTTGCCAGACTGGCCCTCTGCAATGGCTCTGGCATTCCTGGAAGGCTTGGGGCTCAATCCAAACCAACCCTGGGGTTAATGCACAAAGTCAGTGTGGCGCTGGTGCCATATACTCCCCAGACTGACCCCCAGTACTGAGTGCAATGCCTGTGGCATCAGGTCCAACCCACATGCCAGGCTGGTTCTATATGCTGGCTCTATCAGACTGACCCAGACTGGATTGTATGGCTCCAAGGGCTAGATCTCGCCTGTACATGTTTGACACCCCTGCCCTAGAACAACAGGATTTGCATGTGAGTTCAGTGCGTGGCTACCGATCAAGTGAGAGAAACTCTCAGATTCTATGAGCAAGACTCCAGGTCCACAACAGAACAGCCCTTTGTGGAAATACCAGGTCAATGTGATTCATAGTTCTGTGAAATGGTCTAAGAGGAAGCTATTTGTGCTTCAGTACCACGAAAGACCCTGGCCAGCAGTGCCTGGTTTGGGCACACCCACATAGTAAGAAAGTCCCTGCCCCAAAGTGTATGCAATGTAGATGGACAAGCCTGAAAGAGTAGCAGGAAAGTATCATAATCTCCATTTTAATCACAGAGAACTGAGGCTCAGAAATATTTGCCCCAGGTAACACAGGCAGTCTGCGGCAGAGCCAAGTGCAAACAGAGGGTGTCCTGAATCTCCATTTAGTGCCTTAACCACAAACCATCCTTCCTCTAGGTGCTCTCAAACCAGCTGCATGTGCATATGGTATGCAAAAGCTTAGGGCTGCCAGTTGACTTCTGCAGGAAGAACATAAAAGTAAGAGGATATCTGGACAGGCAGTACCAGGACATTGTGCTGCTAACCCAGCAGCAACCCCCACCTGGGGACCCCACCTCTAGACCTCAGAGAAGAACATGGGTTCATCTAAGTTTGTGATTAGCACCCTAATCCCACTTCACAATGCTGGCCCATCCCCTCCTCCTCCAACCACTGGACACAGAACAACAGGGATAAACCACTGCCAGGAAATGTGTCTCATGTGAGGTCATTTCTGCCTTCAACAATGAGTACAGGGGTAAATGCAAGGCATAGCTGCAGAATTCCTATTTGTATAACCCATTCCCCCTTACTTTCCAGGAGGAGCTAGAGGACTTCCCTCTCCCAACTGTCCAGCACTGCCAAACAGTGCTGAATCAGATGCGGTATTCCTCCATCCTTCTGCTGGTGTGTCAGGACTCTGAGCAGCACAAGCCTGACATTCACTTCTTCAACTGCGATGAGGTTGAGGTGAGCAGAGACAGTGGGAAGTATCACAGCTTCTTGGGGCCAGATCTTTCAAAACCTTCCTCACCGGCTTGAGGCACTTGAGAGAAAAGCCAAACCAGAATTCCATGCATAAGTGAACATTTAGACCACTGTGAGTGTGTCTACACCAGGGGTGGGCAAAATGCGGCCCGTGGGTCAGATGTGGCCCACCAGGCCATTTTATCCAGCCTGCAGGGCCCCTAAAAAATTTAGAAAATTAATATTTATCTGCCCTGGGCTGCCTGTCATGTGGCCCTCAATGGCTTGCCAAAGTTCAGTAAGCAGCCCTCCACCCAAAATACTTGCCTGCCCCTGGTCTACATGTTCATTAATACGCAATAGTTACTGTGCATTTAGTTTAGTGCTTGGTTAATGAAGTACTAATTAAATGGGCAGTAATTAGTTTTTTTGTGATGCTTACTGCACAGTAGCCTAATAACATGGCGCAATAGCATATTAGCATGGTTTTTGACTGACATGCTACTGCACAATGTTATTAGGCTACTAAGTGTCTCGTGTAGATGCGCCAAGTGAGCAGCAACGAACAGAATAGGGTGCATGGAGGCACGCATGTGTCTGGATGGGTTTGTACTAGCTGGCTCAAATAATGGAACAGTGGGGACACAGCTATGAGTATTGTCATGCAAGGGTTGTTCATGATGAACAGTTTTACAGTGGTTTCTATTACGTCACAGCAAACATAGGGCTTACACATATCACGTTTACATCACTATAACCTTTCCTTACACCAAAGTAAACAAGGATTGTTTACATGATATATAACTCTTCAGTGGTGTAATTTCTTAAAATCCAATGTAAAGTGACCCTGGGAAAATGGGGCAGTGCAGGATGGGGGGGTGGCATGGGGTAAAACTAGGTGTCATGCTTCTTCCCAGTGATAGCCATTGACTGTCCTGCCATCTAGTGATGAGATACCATAATAACTCCTCCAAGATTACTGGTCATCTATCTGCTCCAGATCATGGTGTAAAAATTACACTGGTGCTAAGCTGTCCAGGGTGCCCCAAAACTAACAGCAGTAATATTTCACAAGCATATGCATGACAGCAGGACTGCTTCTGATCATTCCTGTGAGCTGGTAAAAAGACAGCAACCTGCCTGCTTTATCTACAATGTCTGGCAAGGCAGTTACTGGTGTAAAAATCAGCACAGCTGCCAGTGAACTCAATGCAGCTACCAGGAATGACATGGGGCTTTCCCCCAAGTGCCCTTCCATTCTGAACTATTGCTTTCTTCCAGCAATCCCATTTCTTTCTCTTTCAGAAAGCTGGTGAGTCACACTGCAGCTTTATCAGCAGTTGCACAATAAAAACAGTGGCCAGGAACAGGAAGCTTTTTCCTTATCTACACTGGTATTCCAGCCACAAGCAAGCAGCTCCACTAGAACAAACTCTACGTACAATATACACATGTGCAACAACTGTTGCATTGCACAGCCTATCCCAGTGAACCATGCTGCACCAGTGTTCATGGGGGCTATCCTAGAGACTTCCACTGGTGCAGCTACTCCTGGCTAAAATTCCAGTACACACCGCCCCATTTGCCTGCCTCATAGACAGGTGCTGCGACCTAGATCTCCTTGAGAACCAGAGCCTTTCAGCTTCACCAGGCTCTCTCATCATGTTCTCTGACAGGGGGAAGATAAGCACTGAACAGTGACAGTCCAGTTCAGGGCCAAGCTCTCTCACAAGTTTCTAAACCTCTATGTTCTCCCCCAGCTACTTCCCTACCATCTCTCCTGTGTTCTTCAATCCCTGGAAAGCAAAATCTTTACTAGATTGTCCTTGTTTTGTGTTTGAGGCGGAGATGGTCCATGAGGACATAGAAAGTGCGCTTGCAGACCACAAGCATGGAAAGAAGATACGGCCGCAGACACTCAAGTAAGTGGGGCAGACAGATGGGTTACAGTAGGCAGTGATGGAATGAGAAGGGCCACCTGCCTCATCTTTTAGAGAAAAAACAGTGGATGCAAGGGCTGGACCTTTTCAAACATAGACCTGGGTCAGGAGTGGGCTGAGCTGTGAGAGAGTGTGAATCAGAACTGGAGTGTGATGGCACTGAAACACACACACTGCAAGGCTTTGTCCAAATGAAATGGAAAAATGGGCCCCTTTTGGGTTGGGCTCTGTTCCAGAAATAAGACTAAGCATCACCTCACATCCAGCAATTCGAATCCAACACATGTCATTTTTCCACTTAAAATTTATCCTTGTTTTACTTGCCTGGAAAAGGGAGTTACAAGTTCCGTGATAGATATACAAACATGTTTCACTAGAGCTATCATCAGATTTTCCATATCTTTGGTCAAAGTACTTGACAGCGCTACTCATTAGCGAACCAGAAGCAGTATCCTTGCTGTGGTGATAAACCAACCAGGTGGAACCGGTCCTTATTCTTTGTCCTACACAAGGAATCCCGCAGGTTCTGCTGCTCAAGGCACTAGCCTTAAAATCCTACATCATTATTATTCAGTGTTTGCTGGAAGTACAGACTGTACAGGCCAACCGGGGGGAAATTTAGTTTAATCCTTTAGTCCCCAAGTTATTTTACTTATAGAGATAGAAAGATGCATGTTGATATTTCACACTCTTCCCTCCAAATCTTATTGATTATACTGCAATTTCTAAATATTAGTTGAAATAAGAGGTGATATATTTATGAGCAGAGGCCAGCAAAAAAAACTTGCATCTTGATCATGACTGTTTCTCAAACCCTAAAAGAGCCAATCCATGGAACAGAAAGGATGGTGCTGTGTCCTCTTTTAGTGCTGCCATGGCCACAGAGGGAACTGATGAGCGCACTACAGTCTTGGCCAAGGAGATGCATCTCATAGCTCAAATGGTAGAAGCTCATGTATTAAGATCCACATGTCCCAGGTCTCATCTGCTTAGGTGACTGCTCAGCCAAGGACATGACATTTCTCCAGCAAAAAGCCAATGCATTGATTAATTGTACTGATCTCTTTCCTGTGATAAATTCCAGCCAAATCAAATAGCCCAGGCTGAGATTCCTCTTCCTTGTTCTGACTGGCATATTCAGTCTAGTCTCCTCAGACCAGGAAAGGCTGCCACTGATGGTAAGATGGGTTGTTTTCACATTGTTTATCCCACAGGGTAAACCAAGAGAAAATAAAGCAGAGACAATCAATTCTCCCACCGCCCCAGGGACCAGCGCCTATTCCAATCCAGCATGAGATGCGAGGCTCGCCAAGGAACCGGGTGGCTGCCCCATCCCAGCATAATGAACCAGGTAATGGAGGAATTCAGTGGCTCTGTAACATGCATATGTGAATTCTGCCCACAGCTAGACAAGACTGACACCAATCCAGGGTCTCCTGAGCTATTTGAAGCCTGATGTTGCCAAAACACAAGACCGCCAATGCCATTTCACAGGGGTCACGGCAGAACTAGAAAGAGTCTCTCTATATTATTTACACCCAACATCTGCATTTTAAAAATGCAGTATTTCTACCTGCCAGAATAGCAACAGACATCCTACACAGGGTGAGAGAAGTCTCAGTGACCCAAAGCTCCTCAGAGTTATAGTGATGTTACTTAGGGTGTTGTTCCCACAGTGCAGGCAGCTGCTACTGTTGCCACTGCAGCTTTGGCTCAAGCAGCAGCAGCCCCATAGCACAGGCTCCCTTGGACCTGCCCTTGGTGCCCTGTTTGCGCCACCCCTCTTTCTTCCCCTCATCCCACCCCAATATGTTATTAGGTGCAGGACTGCACTTGCTGTGACAAAAACTTGGGGGAGGGGAGGGGATTCTGATGCCCTTCTTACTTGGTGCCTGGGAATGGTGGCCTGCTTGCTCCCTCTTACTGGCTACACTACTGTTCACTACTGTGATCCAATTCACTGTTCTTCCAATTCCCTGCTACCTCCTTCCCCCTTCTCCTCAATTAGTGACTCCTGATAATTGAGCACTACTGAATAAGTCACCATTATTTCCATTCCCCTTACAGTGGTGAGTTAACCAGGGTTTAATTTATACAGTACGTAAATAATCCATTCCCTGATAACCTTTAAGTGTAAATAGGCAAAAAAGAGATGCTATGCAAGATCTGGAATTGAGACACTCAAGATGAAAGCCTGGCTTCACTTGACTTCATGGAGCCAAGAATTTCAGTTAGAAGAATAGACTGATTTTCCCAAAATCCCACTAGGCGACTGTGGCAGAAACCAGAATTGAACTCATGTCTTGTTGCGTGCTAACCACAAACCCTTCCCTTATCCCTTTGTTTCATTTCCCTCTAATCAAAACACTTTTATTTTTCCCAAGAAGGGGGAACATAGGAAACAAGCTCCCAATTTCATTTTTAAAAATTCCCAACAGTTCAGAGGCATCTTTCTTGCAGTTGCATCTTGTGCCAGTACTAAAAGATATTTGCATTTTACATGCAATTTTGATGTGCTTAAAAAAAGAAAAGAAAAAGAAAACAACTAAGATGCAACATGAAATTCTATACTCATGCTTGGGAGAGAAAATATTCTCTCCTAAGGATGAATAGGAGAGGCCAAACAACTGATTTGTGTTCCTAGGGAGAGACTCTGTTTTTGAACTGGCTTTGCATAATGAAAATGACATGCAGCTGGAGCAGATGATGGAGATCTGATTTTTTTTTTTTTAGCACTCAATGGACACATAATACAGATGGGATTCAAATTCTTTTCATTCCCCAAGGGTGACAACGATTGCAGCCTCTTTGCGGCAGATGTTTTATGGGTACATTTTAAGGGTATGGACAACACAGCATGTTATCATGTCAGATTCATGTTGTCACATAGTAAAAGTGGAGTGAACACATGATGCCCAGGTAGACTACAAAGGAACAACAGGGTACAATTATCCCTTGAAAAAAATGCATAGTAACTTTGCCATGAGGGGAAGTGACTATGTGGAATGTGTTGTGTGTCTGCTTCGTGAGGTCAGAGGTCAGCAACTTTTTCAGGTTGTGGGCTGGAATGTCCTAGTTTGGGTTAAGTTGGGGCTGGTGGGCACTAGGACCTGGCCACCACTGCAACTTCTCTCTGCCACTGCACAAGTGAAAGCACCTGCCACCAAACGTAATGCAACCCGATATCAACAGGCTGAATCCAATGGCTCCATGAGTCAAATCTGGTCCACACGTCATAGGTTCCTGACCCCTGCCCAAAGCGGTTTCAGTCAGGCGTAGCCATTTGCTCAATGTAAATCAGCATTTCTGTTTCCTCTCAGCCAGGTGCCGTTGTAGCACCTATTACATCTTGGGAGAACCGTCTCCTCCTTACTATGGCATCAAAGCCAGAATCAATCTCCCCACAGTGGTTGCATTATACGTCCTTGGTCTAAGAGATAAGACTTGCCCCAAAGTGTTTACAGTCAAAAGAAGTGTTTCTCTCTCTATTTTACAGTAGGTTTGAGTGTTGTGTAATTGTGATGATCCAGGAAATGTGCAAACAGCAAGATATGCTTGATAATATTTTTAGTAGAATAACTGTATAGTTGGAGAAATGTTAGACAGGATTTCAGGCATAAAACACCCTTCCTTAGGCACTGATTCTGCCCAAGCTGAAACGTACAATCGATTCACTGTGACATCTTCTCTCATGTGACTTTGTCCTGCAAGACCAGGGCATTTTCTGGTTATGATGATCTACTATTTTTCAGCTTTCATTTCCACAGTGATGTACTTTTCCCTGTTTATAGCTTCAAAGAGTGTCACTTGTATACTACTGAAATTAGCACTGAATCCATGATTTTATATATATCAAGAAATATTGTAGCTATAAATCTTATACATATATATATACACACACTATATATATATATAATGTAAAGTATCAGAAAGATGTAAAGTATGTGTGCATGTGTGTATAAAAGATGTAAAGATGTAAACTATGTGTGTATGCACACACATAGTTTACATCTTTCACATATAATCAGGGATTCAACACTAGTTTCAGTAGTATGCAAGTTACACACTTGAGTATGAACCTAGAACAGCCCTTCAGGTGACACAGCATATCAAGGCTCTCTCTCATACTTAACATCAGGGGCTGGCAATCTTTTCAAGCTGCGGGGTGGATCAATCCAGCAAGATCAATACATCATTTGTTGGGATTTTCCCATTGATGTACAAGGGATTTTTTATATGCCCTGATGTCTGTAAGGGGGAAAAGGTTACACATTTAAGACCTCATGTAACTCCCATGGAATTCAATGAGAGTCTTTCCATGCACTTCAGTAGAGACGGTTGTAACCGTCAGCTCGCATAAACTGATGGTATATCTTGCAGGCATTATTCTAAGTTCATTGAGTCAACTCAATCTTTGAGTCATTATTATAAGCTCACATGAGCCAACAGTGTACCCTTGTTGCTAAGAAAGCTAACTGCACGCTAGGCTGCATTGCCAGCAGATTGAGGGAAGGAATGATTCCCCTCTATTCTGCACTAGTGAGGCCACATCTGGAGTACTGTATCCAGTTTTGGGACCCCCACTACAGAAAGGATCCAGACAAGCTTCAACCAACACAAAGCACTTGCTCATTCAGTCACTACAGATCAGCAGATGCACCTCCTGACATAGCTCCCAGCACTAGGCTTTCAGTGTTGGCTACTGACTGCAGAGGCAAGACTTTGAAATATACTGGCAACTCACATCATTTGGGACAGGCCTTTCAAAGATGGCTCAATTATAATATTCCAAAGGTGACTTTTCTACTATTCACTGTATATGCAACAGGGAAGAGATTTCGCTCTGCCTGGCTACTCAGCAGGGTAAATTAGCCTGCACTAAGTTCCAGACTGCTGTGGTTTCACTGCTTCTAATACTAGACCTAGCTTGTTTGCAATTAGTAAAGCTATCTCTACGCTATGCTACAGTTTGCCTTTCCTGGCATTTTGTCTCAGATTCCCAAGAGCGCTTCCTTTACTAATTTTCCTATACTAAATGCAATAAAGAGCTTCCTCAGGCACAAGCACACCTGGGGCTGCACACTTCATTTCCCCTTCTGGCCATAGTAAGACCACTCCACAGCCCATCTGGATTCCATTCATTAGCAATACTACCCAATGGATGATGTGTATTTCACAGACAGGGAAAGGACTCCGTACCTTCTCCCAAAAATATAACCTCTCACCCATTCAGTGGCAGGAGGATCACTGATACTTGTGATTAGGGTTTGTAGACTGCATAGACTGCAGCTGTTAGAAAGCAACATATAAACTCTTGTGCGAGTCAGCCACTCTATCCATTCATGGATCTTGCTGTACTGGCACAGGACAATACATAACCAGGTCTCCCATCAAACATTGGTACTCATGTTTTGGTTTAGGACTAGCTCCATGGGCCCAATCAGAATATGCCCCCTGCCCCTTCATAACAAGGACTGGACATTTTGGAGATAGACCCCACACCATATTTTCTACAAACAATGCTTCTGTTGCACACTATTTGTTAACAAATGGTCATGACAACTATGACCTTAACTCTGTTTTTCACAGTGCTTTACAGAAGTCTGTATACTGCATCAATAAGGCCTCACATTACCTAAGGTTTATATCCAGATAAAATGGAAACTGATTTATGTCTGTGGGATGGATTAACACCTTGAATGAAGATGGTTTGTTAAGTCTTCTTCTTCTTCACTGCATTAGCACTGAACACCTGTCTAAACTAGAAACCCAATCCCTTTGTTTACAGAGGGTTTGCAGACAGCTTTTATGGCTCTCTGCCAGACCTGTATCCAAAGACTTCCATTTTATATAGTCTGGTGCTTTTAACTCAAGGAATTACTGGGAACTTTTAAATCTTTTGTTACCCAAGACTTATTTGTTATTCTTCTAACAAATAGCTTACTAAGAAACTACTTAAGCTGAAATGGTGACATCTCATTCATTGCCTGTCACTTGAAAGCCTAAGTGGCTTTATGTTTTTATTTACTGCTCATTAAGAAAATAGAACCAACTTGAGGAAATGCATACAAGTTTGCACAGGGCTCCTCAGATTTTTGTACAGGCCTGTCCAATGCGTCAGTCCTGCAGAATTCCTGGCATACCTGAAGCTACCAGACTAGTTTTTGTATCCATTGTTATTGTCTCCTCTCTTCAATGTGCCCATCTAGTGTATATTTGATGTTCTGTCCGTGTGACAACAGATGCTTATGCTGATAGATGTATGCTATTTCAGTCATCTGTGACCAAAAAGAGTATCTGGTAGCTCACATATTGCTGAGTGATGAAAGGAGGCCTGCAGGTCAGATCACCAGAAACTATACATCAGCACAGCTCCACTGGGCTTGTCTACACTGCATCAGCAGGAAGGCTAGGTCTAGCCAGGTCCTGGCCACAGGCATGCTCCAAACCTGCCAGTGTGTTAATGAGACCAGTCATGGGTGTGCGCCTCAGTCTGGTATGCTTGAGATGGGGAGTTCAGGACTAGTCTAGAGTGGTCTTATCAGTGTACTTTAGGGTTTGGAGCGTGCCTTTGGGTTCAGTGTGGGTGGGGTGTGTTTGGGTCCATCCTGGCAAGGATACTGCCACAGCCACTGCCACTGCTTGGTAGACAAGCCCCTGAAATCCATGGAGCTGCCTTCTTTATTCAGTAGCTAAGTACCGGCTGTGGTTCCTTGTGATTCATGCACTGCTTACATTGGCAGGCTGACAGAAATCAGTGGACACAGTGATGTTGGAGGTGGGGCTACATCCACCTGAAGGGTTTAATCGGCAGTTTTGACCTCCTCACAGATAACCATGCTCTGACGCATTGCCAAACCCAGTGTAATTGATATGCAATCCAAATCCAGCTTTGCCAGCCAACCTGACCCAGGATCCTCGTTATCTACTTAGGGTTTATGCCTGTTTTGATGAACTTTGTTATAAATGCCTTTTCTTAGTGATAAATGCCTTCGGTTTTTGTTTCCTTTGGCAGAATATGACCGACGAAGCTCCACTTCCCAGGACCACGAAGAATCCCGAGCAATCTTAGCACAGAAGATCGAAAAAGAAACGGTTGGTAACAGGAACTGGGCATCTGTAGCAAGCAAAAAGAGAGTGGGAGCAGGGACTTTCACACACCAACTTTGTGCAATTTATTAAGTTTTAAATCTGCACCTGGGTCCTACAAAGATGAAATGGGCAAGAGAGAAGGTCCATACCTTGTTAGGCAAGAAGGTGCCATTTTAACTTTCACTGGGTGCATCTATACAAGATGCTAAAAGCACAGTAGACTAATTTTACTGCAGATTAGCATGTCACAGCAAAAGCCGTGCTAATGCACAGCAGAATTAGCCTACTGCGCATTAGCATGACATACAAGACGTGCACCAGCACTACTGTGCAGTAGTGCAAATTACAACGCATTAAGGCACATGTAGATTTGCCCACTGAGTAGCACCTTGCTCTTTGAGTAGGTCCATTGTTTTCAATGGGAGCCTCTGCAAAGTACTACCCCACATAGAAAAGAGTGCCAGATCCAGAGATACCAGTCATTCCACTTATTTTTCTCAGTTATCATACAGTCTGCTAGCAGGAGATCAGACACTGTGTTGGTAATTGCAACACAAGAATCTAATACAATTCCTTTTCCATGTGGAAGAGACCAGTTTTGCTGCATTTCTTGTTTTAATGAAACCTCCTCCAGATGGAGGCCCTTGTGAAGGATAAACTTTGGGGCATGGGCTCCTGAGTAGGATGCAATAGCTACTCTTTTGGCTTAGATGCAGTGTATTTTGTCTATTCACAGCAAACCCTGAATTGCACTCTGGATGACATTGAAGTGTTTGTTGCCAGGCTTCAGAAAGCAGCAGAGGCATTCAAACAGCTGAACCAAAGGAAAAAAGGAAAGAAGAGCAAAAAGAAAGGGCCAGCAGGTATGTTCCATCTGCTGATACAGTGAGAAAGTTGGTGGGTAAAGCAGAGTGAGTGGGATTAATGGCTTGGGAGAGAATCAGAACCACCAACCTAGTGAGTTTGGAACAGTAATGACATGACAACATCTATGTCACCTTCCTCCTGGGGCTCTGGCTTGGTCAACCCAGCCATCTGGGGACCCATTCCTAGAGCAAGCAAAACATAGCAATACAAGTTCAGCTTGCCTTTTTGCTCCCACTTACTATTTCTCCTGAACACTAATAAGGAAAACCTATCCTTTTCTGACTTGTTTTAATAAAAGCATTTCCCTTCCCAACTGCTTTTCCTTAAAGAGGGAGTACTGACACTTCGAGCAAGACCTCCAAATGAGGCCGAATTCATCGACTGCTTCCAGAAAACCAAACTGGCTCTCAACCTTCTGGTAAGATGCAGCCCATTTCATTTCACTGCTTCACTGGTCCACGTATAGATGGTGATGTCAGGATTAGTTTACTCTGGCTCAAATTGAGCTAGAGTATATTTAGTCTCATTAATTGCATGTGTAGACACGCCCACAATCATTGGAATAGAAATCAGGGATGAACATTTTAAAGGAAAAAGTAATCTATTCCTGGTTTGTCAAAAATTCCAGTTTTCTTCAAGAATGCAGAAACTTTTTGGCTTGACAAAATTAGGATTCCCTCTCCCCTCCCCACCAAATTTCCATTTATTGAAAAGAAAATGCTTTATCTATTAGGTGAAAAGCATTTCAATGGAAGATTTTAGGCCTGTTCTAAGTAACAGCTACTTTGAAAAGTTAACACGGTGACAACAGCCAGGGGGGGGAGGGAGGGTGAAATAACCCCAGTGGCACATTTTACAATTGCAAATATGCATTCATTAATACATTCATATTAGGTCACATAAAAATTTGAAACATGCACAAAGATGGTATACTGTGGACCTAATAGCACAAATACTTTAAAGTCCCTGCTGTAATCACAGCTTTTATAGCCATCCAAGGGGGAGTGCACTAATGCAGTTGCACCCCCTCTTTGATTCCTGTTCCACCCATACTTCAAAACCAACTGCCTGGGAGGGGCAGCCGCATTTCTATTCAAGCAGTGCTGAGAGAGTCAATAGACTTCACCGCTTGTTATCATCTGCCTGATTCCTACTAATCTCTCCCCAGCCCACAAACATTAACAGCCCTCTGATTAAAGGTTTTAATGTTCTATTATTCAAACTCTCCTTTCTTCTGAAGTTTTGCCGTTAGCCATTCCTGGTAATGTCTCTCTTCTATTTCACAGCCCTGCAGGATATTTTAACTTTAGCTAAAAACCTTAACTCAGGTGTGATCATATTAAGTCAGATGTAGAAATGACTGACAGTAAAGTATTGGACGCACTTGTCAAGATGCTCAGTCAAATAAGAGACATACATTTAACTATAATGGGTGTCTGTAGAAGTGTGGGACGCCTGCTTCCACATGCTGTAATGACAGCAATTCAGAGCAGATCAATTCATCCCAGGCAGACTTGATTAATCCCAAGAGCTGCTCTAATTAAAGCACCTTCCCCACCCCCCTAGAGCACATGTAAAGATGCCCAATAAATACAGGACTAATGACACAATATCTTTTGACTATTTTTCCTATTTTTGCCTAATTTGTTATGTTTTTAAAAGTGAATATATAATGTAGCATATTAGTGAATATTCCAATGGTTATATATGTTTTTGCTTTGATCTTAAACTGAGTAATACAGCACTAGACCTGCAGCATATTAGTAAAACTTCTTGTTTCTCTTTAAAATAGAAAAAATGTGTGTTGTTGTGTATGTGATGATGTGCCAAAACACCTGCAGCCTCCTTTCAAAATCCTAGATCTGCCCATGTAGACATCCAAGGAGATAGCTTCAAATTAAATCACTTGGTTACAGCTATTAGTCTAGACACACCACCATAGAACTCAGAACAGCTGCGCAACCCTTCTAAAAAACCGGATAAATACCCAGGCACATAGCCTATGCTAAGCTCTGTGCTACTGCTGCTACCTTTCTAAGCAGTATCTAATCTAGCTAGTTTAAATCTAGCTTGGGTAGACTTACATTATGTTACAGTCACAGCAGTGACTTCAGTATAGACATAGCCAAAGGCAGGGGACATAAATTACACATACACCAGTATAAGTGATCAAAAACCAGGAGTTCAGTGCGCATAAACTGCTTTCAAAATAGCTGAAACCAGTTTAAGATGAAACTGGATGGATGTAGTATCAGATTTAACTGTTTTAGGTTAAACTGGTTTATTGAACTTCTGTCCCAGATCCCCTCCAGATTCAAGTTAACTTACAGTCCCCCAGCATCCCAGGATGCTTTGTACCTCCCCTGCAACTACCTTTGCAGAATGGGTGGGCTAGCCTTGCCCCAAGGTGTCTGCTCCAGCTGAGCAGGGAGGTGTGCTCTGGCAGCCTCCAGCTTTTGGCTTGGGCCACTGCAGGCATGTGGCTGCATTTCCAGAATCAAAAGTGAATGTCTGTTCACTTGCTTATCGGTTAAATCAGTTTAGATTAACCTGAAAAAATTTAATCAAGTCAGCTTTGGGCTCTTTGACTGTCTGTACTTAGCTTAAGTATCCCTTTAAATAGTTCTTACCTCAGCACAGCTACATAGATTAAGGCCTAAACTATGCCCATATTTTTTATCATAAGGGTGTACTTGTACATCTCCCCCTTGTGTGGACATAAGAATACTAAGTAAAAAGGCAAGTCTCTTTTTCATGTGAGACTACCCTATACTAGTGTAAAAGCACCTTTATGAGGCTATATCTGCCTCTGTGTGGTAGGGGAAGAGTTATACCAGTAACTCTACTGGCCATGGGGTGCATCTCCACTGCAGTCAGCTCCCTGCACTCCCTAAGCTAGCCTAGGTACAAACAACGGGGCAGGTGAAGCAACACAAAGCTTGCCACATGCTGACAATCTGGGTGAGTATCCCAGAGGTTGATTTACACTGAACTAGCTTAAACCTGGCTCTGGAAGGTCTACACAAGCTGTAGCTATGCCTTTTCAGCATAGACATGTCCACAGCTACATCCTGCTGCTGCCCCAAAGGAATACAGTGTGAAATCTGCAAGGAGAGTGCTGATCAATTGAACAAGCCCTGATAGAGTCATAGTGCTTGCCAAATCTGGTGTCCTATAACTGCACACTCCTTTGGAAGTGCTACTTGGTAGGCTTGGATCCATCAATTTTTTTTCACACTTTCCACTCTACATTCTTATTTAAAAAACACATCAGCAGCCCAAAACTATGTACCCCCTGGCCCCCACAGTGCTTCACCAGCATTAACTAATTCATCCTCACACCAAAGCTGAGAAGAGGATCACTCCATTTTCCACCTGGTAAAACTGAATAAAAGATTTGACCAGGGCTACAAAGCAGAACTGCAATGAGAACACAGCAATTCTTTGCTTCTAGTGCCATGCATAGATGAACACATCACTCTCTTATTCTCAGAACAGGATGCCTGAAGTGGAATATCATATTTACTTGCTGTGGCAGGACACTGTTTGTGCCTGCCACTTTAAGGGCTGAGACAAGCAGCTAGCAGGTGCTTGATTGCAGCAGCCATTTTAGATCTCTGGCTGCCTATATAAACGGAGCAGTTTGCTACTGGCAGGCAAGTAGAAACATTACCTGGTTGCAAGGCTGTATGCAGCATCCTGGGAGGTAAGGGTAAGAGCTTATGGGGATGGATAGGAGGCTCCTGATCCTGGGCATGAGCTAAAAGTGCAGCCTGCCAGGGATGGGTGGCCTGGTAGGGCTCCTGGTGGTGCAGGAGTCCCCAGGAAATGCCAGGCCAGAGACCACCCTGGTGAAAGGTGTTGGGGTGCCTTAACCCCAGCTCTCACAACTGGGTGGGTTACATCATAGTAGGGCCAAGAAGGTGGACCCATGTTAGAGAGTGGGCTAGAGGCTTAGAAGCCTGACTTGAAGCACCCTCAACTGGTCAATGCTGGGGCCAGGACCAGAAAGGTCAAAAGGGTCAGGGGTCCACTGCAAGAAATGCCCAGAGCTGAGGGCCTGGGGTTCTGCCTGGCCTTGGAGGTGAGGCCAGGGCCTGGGTGGCCAAAGGTCCTGGAGGGAGCCACACCTGAGGAGGAAGAGTTTAGGGAGCTAGGCAGCCCAGAATGAGGGTGGAACAGGCCACATGATTGCAGGGATCCAGCTGGGGTCTGGACTGGAGGATTCTGGGGGCCAGTGTGGGGCGGGTGATGTTAAGAACTGTGGATACCATCTGTGAGGCTTGGGCTGTGGTGTAGGGAAGGAACAGAGCCACAGCTAGTGCCCCCTGTCACTGAGGCAAGAATGAGCAGCCTCCTGCCTAATTAACAACATAATTATGTATCATGAAGGCATGGCAGGAGAGGAGGCAGGCAGTGGCCCAGAAACAGGTGGGCAGGCCAATGGTAGACCAGCCCAGAGACAGCCCCCTGTTACACTTGCATACCACATGCAACTTGTCCCTAAAATTTAGCTCCTCAAAATTAATGTGCGTGTTTAAGGCAGAACCTGATTTTTCTGCCTGGATTAGAAGCACTCTGCTTTGATTCTTGCTCCACAGCACAGTAGCAGTGGCATTATTATTCAGACAATTGCGGGGGGCACAATTGTCTTGATGGCTCACTGTTCTTCACTCCATAGACATTAACAATAAGAAGGAGAGATGAATGATCTTGATGTTCCATTAATAAAACTAAGTTTTCCTATGGCAAATTTGCTATCTGCTAGCTGTTCCTGGTCTCCCTCCTCCTATTTTACATCCCCAGAGACTCTTTAACTCTTTTCAGAATCATAGCTCTATCTGCAGAGACCAGTCTTCAGCAGCAGCTATGATTTCAGCTTTTACTTAAGCAGGAAAGGGAAGGCAAGTCAGCTGAAGTTTTAGACTCTGTTCCTGCTTTATCCAACTATAACTCTGGAAACATTTCTTTTTCTTCGTTCTGCCTTCCCAAAAATAAGGTGTATGTTTTATCTGGGGGAAGCTGTATGCAAGAATTATATGGTAATTAGGCAGGGAAATAAGGATTCCATAGGAATGCAGTACATACAGTCACAGACCCTTGCATTTCCCCACAGAGAGCCATTTTCCATTACAGCAATGCCAGCAATACAATAGAAAACACAAACGACAGCACAGACTGAAGTGGCTTGTGACTACAGCTTGCCTGGTAGCATAGAGCAGTGGTCTCCAAACTTTTTTGATCTTGCACCCCTATCAGTAAAAAATTTTTGAGCACGTACCCCCAATATATGAGTGAGGGCACCACTATCAACCCCTCCGCATTGTGGAACTCCCATTCTTCCCTCAGGATACCTCACGTACTGTACGTGACACGTGACTGTCTGACATACGGACCGAGTGAGGGTGCCAGTGCATAAATAGAAGTTTTAATATTTTCTTCCTGCACCCCAATGGATCGTCTTGCACACCCCATTTTGGAGACCACTGGCATAGAGGATGCTCATTCTTCAACCGACTACTTGTTGACTCTCTGTAGAAAATATCAAAGGGACTTTTCACAGCCTGCACTGTGAGGAGTTTGAATTTTGCCATTTGGGGAAAAAACACTTTCTCTCCATCCCGAGAAACTTACGGGCAAGCATTTCAAAGGCAACTGATGTTTCTAGGTGCCTGATGCAAAATACCTTACAAAAGGAGGATTTCACAAGGGATCCAAACATTTTCTGAAAAACAGACCCTTTTATGGTATTGCTAAATGGGTATCAGTGAAATGGGGAGTCACTTGGAAATAATTATTTTCTTGGTTGTGTTCTTCTAATTTGAAATTACAGCTAAAAGCTTTTATGTTTTTCAGCTCCAGCACCACCATGGAGAAGTGCCAGAAAGCAGTTATGCCTCTATTGCAGAGCCCTGGAGCCAAAGTTGGTTTGATTAACCTGGACTACTTCTCTTTTTTTCAGGCCAAGCTGAGAAAGCACATCCAGAACCCCAGTGCTTCAGAACTAGTGCATTTCCTGTTTGGGCCGCTGGAACTGGTAACCTTCAAAATATAAGAGTTTTTCTTATGTGCCTATATGATAATCAGCCTGGTTAGATCTAAATGAACAGAAGATTATTGGTCTTGATTAAAAGAAGGCTCTAACTGTCAGAACAGTGAAGTTCTGGAATGGCCTTCCAATGGCAACCCCTTCCCTCCAACACCCTAGCTCTAAGATGCATCTTGAATGGTTTAAGAAAGACATATCATGTGGCTGCCTGTAGTAGTAAGGGCTGACCCAGAAGGTCCCTTCCAGCCCTACATTCTAGAATCAGCACCGGGTAGATGTGGAGTATTGGGTATAAATGTTACAAGCAGTATAGGGAACACAGAAGGATCTGATCCTGCAATAATAATCATTGCAGAAGCAATACCAATAGGGTAATGGAGGAGTAAGGCTGCGAGAGACTTCAAGAGATCATGTAGTCCAACTGGGGATCAAACTTTGAGTTACTACTGGCTACCTGCACTTGCACATGCAGTCCACTGCTCAGCACATGTTGTGTGTCTCTGTCTCTGCTGGACCCACTGTCTAGCATGGCTCCCCATCCACAGGCCTGAGTCTTTGTGTTCAGACTGTAGAGCAGGGGTGGGCAAAATGCAGCCCCTGGTCCAGATGCAGCCCCCTGGGCCATTCTATCCAGCCTGTGGGGCCCCTAAAAATTTAGAAAATCTAATATTTATCTGGCTGCATGTCATGTGGCCCTTGATGACTTGCCAAAACTCACTAAGCGACCCCCTGATCGAAATAATTGCCCAACCCTGCTGTAGAGGCTCCAGTTTTTAGCACTGGAAGTGACATGGAATTGAACTCAAACAAGGTGCTTGGTGAGGCCCAACTTGCCTCAGACGCCTACCATCTGCTTCATTTTACCCTACACGCTTACAGGGAGCAGGAGTACATGGGGATTCAGATTACTACTCAGAACCCTACAAAGCATTCACAGCAAAACCTTGAAACAGTGCAGCATCCCACCTAGGTTCAGGTTTGATTACAAGTCTGAACAAGGATTATCAACCTATTCACTTGGAAGGTGAGCCATGCTACTAAACCTAGGAAAAACTTAGGGTACCCATTCCCAAACTAAGGGTCACAACCCCATTTGGGATCACGGAAGTTAGGAGGGCAGCCATCGGTCCCACATAGTGAGTGACCATAGATGTGCTCAGACTGGTCACAAGCTTACTGGAAGCTGGGTTACAAGCCTGCAATTAGGGTCATGAAAGAGTAGAGAGAATAGCTTTGGGCTATAGCAGTAACAACAAAATGTGAATCAAGCTGAAAGCAGACCTGGTCAATGTGGCCCTATATTTGCACAGAAGATTCCCTGTTTTTAAAAAAAAGAGCTAGAGATAGCAGTTGATCCTCATGTTGTATTCCTGGGGCAGTTCAAGAAATGGGCACTGACAAGTACAGGATACAAGATTAGATGGATCACTGGTCTGATCCAGGGGGAATAACCCAGAGGGCAGTTCCTATATTTCTATGAAATGGCACTATTCTCTACAAAGTCTGAGATGCAAAGAACTGCAGCTGCCAACAAGCTCTTCAAAATTTTGACCTGTGTCTGACTGTAGTGGCCTGGTTTTAGAGATGCAGACCACACCTACATCCCTGTGGTTTCCTTTGGAGGTGGAGGGTGCTCACTGCCTCCAGCTGTCAAGCTCTGAATCATTCCCGTTTTTAGTTTCTTTAATACTTTTGTTGGCCTCCAGACACTGATGTCCTGCAAAGTCTCTAACTGGCATTCTTTCCTGGGTCACACAGATTGTCAATACCTGTGGAGGCCCTGACCTTGCCAGGTCAGTCCTTAGCCCACTTCTAGCTAAAGACACCACAGATTTCCTGAAGACACACCTGACACCAAAAGAGATGACACTCTGGGAGTCCCTAGGAGAGACATGGACGAGATCCAGGTGAGAGCAAGTCTGGGGTGACTCTGCAGATTCCCAAACAAGGCGTAGGGGTGTTTCTGTTTAGCGGCCCTACTGAATAGGCCAGGGAACAAATAAGGGAAGGAAGGGCCTGACACCCTCTTGCCAGCCACCTTTTACACTCATTGGCACCAGTTTGGAGCAAAGCAGTAGTATTTCACCCCCATCTGGCACTGCTGTAAATGATCTCACCAGCTGCAGGGGGCTGGTGGCTTGGGCACTGGAAGACATTAACTTGTGGGTCTTGCTGCAGGCATCCTTTTTCTATTCTTGTGTTCCCAGGGCGGAATGGCCTCGAGAAGCCAATGTCCCAAGCTACATCCCGAAGTTCCGCAACGGATGGGAGCCCCCTGTGGAAATCTTTCGTGGAGCCCCTTGGGAAATAGACATTGGACACCTACAAGAAGAGGTAAATCTTGTGCCCCCCATCATCTTTTTTCGCTACTAACCTCCTTAGAGAAGTTAAACCTTTGCTGAAACATGGAGATACACAAACATTTATAAATGCTGGCCCTGTACTTCAAAGCTTACCTCACCTATAAGTGCCAGGGTAGTGACAAGTTCCTTACCATTTTTCAGCAGGGCTGGTTCAGGCCATGAGATTCCTTTGACCTATTATGGGTGACACTGAGTTTGTGTCCCCAGTCTGGCACACATTGAAATGCCACCACATTCAGTAGAATTACACCAGTGTTAAATTGGTGAGCAAGAGATCAGACACAAAAGTCATTGGCTTGGCTAAGATTAGAACCCAAGTTCCTAAATCTCTGCTGCATGTACTATATCTTATACCCTAAGACACTTTACAGAGCAGAGGCATAAGTCACACACCAGTCTTGGGTGCTGTTATCCAGGCTTGCTTAGTGCAGCCATGTAGGGCCCTGTGGGTGAGATGGGAGTGCCCTGCATGGCTGGACAGCCCGCCCGCAGACAGGGGGATCATGTTAGTCGTGGCTTTTCCCAAAAGTAAGAGGCACTAGCTAGAGATGTCATCTAATTGTAACAAATGAACACATCAGTAACAAGGCTTTAAATCCAGAACCCCAACTGCCTACAGAAACTAAACCTGTCCTGGTGAGGGTCAAGAATCCATTCATAATACAAGGATGATGATGCTAACCCCACTATCCTAAATCTGGGTTGCCATAACTGAACTATGGTGAGGTTTTGGGTGGGGTCTGAAATACAGGAAGTGGGTTGATAGAGACCAGATTTTGTTCTTGCACATTGAAACGATTTGTAGAAAGACAAAATTGCAGATTCATGATTCTGAAAGCCAAAAGGGGCCATTACAATCATCTAGTCTGAAATTGCGTATAATAAGCAATAGCGCATCACCCAGAAATTCCTTGAATTGAAGGAATTACTCCTCTTACTGATGTAAGTCAGACATAATAGGTCCATCTTGACCATCTCTTAACATGTCCAATCTTGATTTAAAGGATCTAGAAACACTCTGTTGTTATTGTTGTCTCCAGTCTCTGATAGGGAGACCGTAGTAATGCTATGACTCCATTTTACCTTTCCAGCTATCATCAGCCAATGGATACCCCTATCGTAACTCCTCGCTCAAGTGTCGCCAGTCAGCTGATGCAATGCAAGCTGTGGATGCCTTTAAACAGGGTGTTACTCAACATGTAAATAGGTAAATCTGCTAGCCACCCATGCACATAGCGCAATAGAGTCCTGATCTTCTAGATACCGTCTAATGCAGTACTACTACTGAGATACTAGACTCTTCTGTGACATTTTGGCTGTCATTAATTCGAGCTTTTTGTCTAGAAGTCACATATCAGTCATGAAGTACTATCTGCCTCCAGGGCACTATAATTAGCAAATATAAGCTGAAACAGGTTATAGTCAAGTGGTTTTCTTCTTGAGAGGCAGAAATCTTAACTGACTTTTATCAGTTAGTTCATATTTTCCTACCTCTGAGTATCAGGCCATCAGACTAGTATTAGGGAGCTGGCATGCACAGTAGAACCTGGATCATTTGTGTCTGGGTAGTTCCTAACTCCCCTAATTCACAATGGGTTGCCAAGAGAAGAATTAACCATGCAGCTGTGGGCTATATTTTGTTATGCCAAAGGGTACTGCTTATCTGATTGCCTGGAGCTCATCAGATGTACTGCCCAGCTGATTAGAGAAGCTTCCTCCCCTGAAACAACTATACTGCTATAGAAGTTAGTTTGTTCCTTTCCATTCATCCCCTACCTTTTGAACCCACATCTACAAAGTAGAACACTTGTAAAGGCAGAGTACACGTTAAGTAGTAAAACTACTTTTCACAATTTAAATCTTCTTTCTGCTGCTCTACAAAACCAGTCTGGTGAAAAGCTATCTCCAGATAGCACAGCCAGATCAGGCCATAATTACCTGCTTTCAAGCATATAAGATGACTCCTACTCAGGCAGGAGTCTTGCACCGAAAGACTTGCACAATGGTAACTGCAGTATCCAACAGTGTGATTTCACCCTTACACTCCCCAAGCCAATTCACCTCGGCAAGGTGAGGAAATTATGCCCCCCCACCAAATCACCAGTCTTCACAACAAGAAGTGAATATCAGTGCCTCATTGGGGCATATACATACTACAAAATACAAGCCATTTAAAATAATCAGTCACAAATTCTGGTCTTGATTACATCTCACAAATTCCATTTGAATTTGCCCCAGGTAAAATCAGAAAATATCTACATTAGGGATTATTTTTTAAATCCATGTTAATTGACTGCCTGTCAACCAATGCATTCACATTTGTTAGTTTGAACAGTCAACAATAAGCCACAAATGTTTGCCTTGCATCCTAGAGTAGATGTTGGTAGTGTGTTGATTATGTACAATCATGTTGATTGGCGATTCTGTGTCCTCTAGATAGACTGAAGAGCACAACACTCTTGGTTTGAACATTCAACCATCTTTAGACAGGGTGGGAAATGATCTGCTTTATAGGGGAGAGGCCATTTGGTTTCAGGAAAGGGAGATGTGAATTACCAATTATAAGTGCACAAATACATTATCTTTATTTTTCAGTATATTTCATTGCTGTCACAGTGACTTGATAAAATCTAACAGGGATCTCTCACAAAAAACTCCATACTCTATGTCTCTAAAATTTTAGTTCCTTTAACAGTAAAGTTGCTTGCAAATAAGTTTCACTGTTTTTCCATGTCACTGTCCTTCTATTTCTCTACTTCCATCTGTTTTATGCACCTTTTGGTCTTGGCATGACATAGTTTAGAGTCATATAGTATGTCTGTACACATGCTTTGGGGTGGGGAGGGGGCACTTTAATTAGAGTGGCTCTGAGAGCCACTCTAAAGCACTCACAGCATCATGTGTATTCAGCATCCTACGTTTCAAAATGGTGATGGGGGTGCTTTAAGTAAAGCTCGTTCAATGATCTTTAGTTAAAACACCACCACCATTTTGAAATGCAGCAATGCTGAATGCACATGACTGAGGCTGCTGGAGCATGCTAATTAGCACACAAGCAGACTCAGTTAATCGAGTCTGCTACAACTTGTGCTATTTAGCATGTGTCAAAGCAGAGGTCTGTCACATGTGTAGGTGCCCATAAGGCCTCAAGTAGAGGCATAACTACTGGGGTGTTGTGCCCTAGACAGCAGCAGGAGGGCAGGCTACATGTAGGGGGTAGCTGCCATTCTGGTGTCCTTTCTATATGGGCACCCAAGCCTGGTACCCCAATTGCTGCCCCACTTATTATGCTACTGGCCTCAAGTATGAAAAGTACTTCAGTAAATTCCCACTGAAGTCCATCACACCCAGGCCCATGCCTAAATTTGAACAGGTCCTTAAGTGCTTTCCTGAATCAAGGTCAGATTTGGGCCAGGTCTATAAAAGAAAAGTCTGGTTAACGTGGCAATACTTATATTAGTGGCCCCCTCCTTGGATGGACTAAGCAGATGCTAAACAAAAAATGCTTTGCTGGGTTCCTAGCTCTACTAGAAAAAGCCCTTTTTATGCTGATGTAACTGTCTACCCTTGTGCTTTTGACTATTTGACAGTGTCACAAAAGAGTCCCAAGCTGATAACATTATAACCAGCAAAAGTTTCTAACTTAAACTAGACCTTGACAGTGGTGGCCAGAGAACCTGCCACTGTGTCCAGCTTCACAAGTCCAAGCCCTGCTGCTTGTGACTCACTGTGCCTGCTGGTGCACTACAGAAAAAGAACTCGGATATTCCTTCTTTATCTTGTCTTCGCGGCAGTTGGTGGGAAAAATTATTCGCCTTTTCCTGTTCGTTATGTGTCAGTTTATTCCAACTCTAGTTGACACACACTTGCTCCTTATGTAGTGCACATGACTGTAACAGTTTATTGCCTAGAACATAAATTCCCCCAAACCAGGAAGACTATAGACCAACCTCAGAGCTGGCTTTTTGGGGGCTATTGCTCAAATAAAACATGACATAGATCAATCTGTGTTAAAAGCTATTATCTTTGTATACTCAAAGCAAGCCCCTCAGCTTTTCATTGATGGTTGTTTGTTTTTTTTAATAACCTGCTAGAAGGATCCTTGATAACCACATGATGGGGAGAAAAAGAACCACACAAGATGTGTTTCTGGAAAAACATGCAGGCAATAAAGCAATTGTAAGTTAGGAATGTGAGGAAAATGCACCTTATGTTGTGCCCAGTAATAATCCTTTCCTCAAAATAACAGGCATGGTGTACATATCTTAAAGGGAGCAGAAATCTGACACCACAATGCTGACGTAACATTCAGATCCCACTAGCAAACTTGAGCCACATTCCCCTCTGTTCTACCTCTTATTCATAGAGTTGCATCCAGTTTGGTGTCAAGCAGTGTTACTTCCTTGGATGAAACTCCATCCTGCTATTTCTATTCTTGCTGACAGGAGGAAGTTTTCTGCTCTGTCACAGCTATGCTGGTTTTAAGTCATAAGCAAGAAGGTCCATAGAAAAATTATGTCCCTAATTCAAGCCATTATTTTATACGAATTGATAGAAACTGCTCGAGATGCCAACAGAAAATAAATCCACTCTGAATGGGGATAAAAGCTTGAAGTCTAGACAATCTTCAGAAACCAAAAAATGAAATAAGTAAAACAGATTTCAATTCCTTCCTTTCTCCCTCCCTCCCCTTAATTTTTTTTTCCAGTTTAAAATGTATTTCAAAATTGATGTCCAGAATTCTTTGCCTTGGAAGTGCCAAAATGAAATGTTTCAACAAATCCAAACTTTTCAAAATATTTTGAAGTAAGCAAATTCATCAAAACTTACCTTTTCTCAAGAGAACATTTCTGGTTCTGATGAATCCTCACTTCCTGATTTAAAAAAAAAGGCAGAAAATTCTCAGTTATTTATGCTACTTTTTGACACATGACTTTCCCTTCCTCAAAACATAGATTCATAGATGTAGGGTCAGAAGGGACTTAAGTAGATCATCAAATCTGACCCCTTGTCCTGGGCAGCAGAGAATACTGGGCTCATATGAGCCCAGCTAGGTAATTATCTAGCCTCCTCTTAAAGACCCCCAAGGTAGGAGCCAGCACCACTTCCATTGGAAGTTGGTTCCAAATCCTAGCCGCCCTGATATCTAGCCTGAATCTACTCTCAGTCAACTTATGGCCGTTATTCCTTGTTACTCCGGGAGGTGATCGGGGGAACAGGGTCTCTCTCCCATTCCCCACTGGTCCCCTCCTGGTAAGTTTATAGACAGCCATCAGGTCCCCTCTCAGCCTTCTGATGTAGCCCATTTTTCCATTGCTTTGGCATGTTGGGAAGAGTGCTAGTGTTTCACACCTATTTTATACAAGTATATACAGTTGTTCTTCATGAGCCAGTCTGCTGGAATATCAGGCTTATCTGGTCTACTCAAGCTGTTGCTATAAACTTGCTGGCTACTCCTAATTCTATGTCAAGTACAGTAAATTAACATTTTTTTATTTGCATTTTTATTTTTGTCTCCTAATCTTTTCCTCAATCCTCACTTCATTATGAAGCTGCTAACTGAAGACTAACACTGCCTTTTTTTATACACTTTTCATGGCATCAACCTCATGGTGCTCAAAGCATGACACTGATCATTGACTGAAGAGCCTTCACTGCCTTTCTGCAGGATGTTTTACTAAAATGCATCCAATCCTGTACAACTCAGGATCAGAACTGAGCATAAATTTGGGGTCTAGGGCCATTGCATCACTGAAAACCTGACATCTCTGGCTCCTGGCAGACATTACGTTTGTTGCACGTTATATGAAAGTGTTGAGTAAAAAAATGGTAACATGGCAACTGGTTACACATTAAAACTATGGTGGAACTATGCTGTTCAGCAAGCAACTTCTTTAAGGCTGATTGGTGATTATTAACCTGGAATAAGCTTGTTAACATCTGGCATGTTATGATTTGTCATGTGATACTTTTGTCAAGCATTTTATGTGAGTAATGTCTGCCAGAGGCCTTTTAAACCTTGCACATTAACATAATCATTCTAAATACGACTTTCTCCAGCCCCTTGGCTATCATAGGAACCCAAATTATAAACTATTTTTTTCTTCTGAAGGAATTTTGAGGCACAGGGGATGGCTGCACCAAAGAGATATGCCAAAATCCGCTATGATTTCACTGCTCGAAATGCCAATGAACTCTCTGTGATGAAGGATGAAATCCTGGAGGTAAATAAATAAACTTGGGAGCCAATCCTCTATCTTGGAAGGGAGAAAAAGATATACCACTTGGCAAACACCAAATAATTTTCACCTAGGAGTTCTGAATGACAGCACAATATTTCCTTTGAAGAGAAAGCTTTAAGTCTGAGTAAGAGTAGGATTTTTTTTCAGGATTTCAGGATCCAAGCGTCCTTGAGATTTGATGGCTATGTTGTTTTAACATAGCAGCAAGGATTAAGGAAACCAAGTCATCATGCTATGCTGCTTAATGACAAATTGAGTTTTATTTTTATTGCTTCAGACTTCCCTGTAATAAACAGTTGAGAGACTATTTTCCCCTGAAATGTAACACAGACTTGATTTTAGCATTAGCTTTTCGCACTGCAACAGCCAGTGTCCATTAAAAAAAAAAAGGCTTCTGTTAAATAGAGATGTAAAATACTTACACATTTGCATAAATATTGTGATAACAAAAATGAAGAGTGTGTAAACAGTCTGGCTCAGGGCTGAAGCCAGAGCCAAGGTGCCGCCTACCCTAGGCTGCGCTGGCTTGTTTGGCAGGGGAGGGGAGAGTAACAGGGAAGACTGCAGAGGAGAGGGAAACCTGCAGCCTGCACTCCCACCCCTTGCTCTGCCACCCACCCCATTATAATTAATTTATAATTATCTACATATGGAATCTAATTATTGGGGGGTCATCTTAAATTCAAAGTCATCTTGGATTTGGGTAAATATGGTATATTTAAATCTGAATAGAAATAAACATCAAAGCATTTGATGCATGGGACAAAAATCTTTGAGTTTAGGATAGCTTTCTTCTAATAGAACAGGACTTTTTTTTTTTTTTTTTTTTTTTAAATCAGAGCTCAAACTAGAACAGGCATGCAAGAAGAAACAAGTAATCATGTGCAGTGGAAAATACCCTGATAACAAAACACCATCTTTCCTGCATCCTGTTTAAGTAATGGATGGGTTGTAAACAAGTCATATGAAAATTCTGCAGGTAGCTTTTGTCCAAATGACAGGATTCATTTTGAACAGCCCCCTTTTTTTTTTTTTTTTTTTAGGCAAAAGGAATTACAGGGCACTATGAGCTCTCTCACTGACGACAGGCTTAAAAATCAACAGACAAATTAAGCAGGAACTGGCAGGAGTTCCTAAAGCCACAGGTTGATGCATTTTCACTAGGAGCTGCTCCCCAATAAGCCAGTATTCCACAAACACTTTGTTGACCCTCTTCAGGGAAGATTTGTCAATGCTGCATTTGAATTTGACACCATCTGACTCCGTTGCAGTTTTCTTGTCTCTACTGCATTTTTCTATGGGATACCACAGGGCAGCATGTTTTCTTTCATGCGAGAACAAGAGATTTCATTACCTTGTACATGCCATGAATGCATGGTGTTCTCAAGGGCTAAATTACTTTTGCTCTCACAGGTCTTGGAAGATGATAAGCAGTGGTGGAGGTTGCTAAACCGCAGTGGGCAGGCTGGCTATGTCCCATATAACATCCTGGATGTGGTGAAACTGGAAGATATGGAAGAGCTCTCTAATCAGGTGATGTTTGACTGGTAATCAGCTGTGGTGTGTAACTGGTCTCTGAGAACCACCTTCAGCCATCACCAGAAACAAATCAACCTACCTACCCTGTAGACTTGATAAGTAAGGCAACTTTTCGCAGCTGCATAAACTTTCTTCCTCTCACAACTTTATAGCACTGTGACAGGATGAAGGGGTCTCACCTGACCACTATAAACTAGGGCTTTAACAACTTAGACATCTCAAGGCTAGTGTAGGTGATGTGATGATGAAACTGAGGCTAAAACAGAACTAAATATACCCTCCTGCCCCTCAAAAAAAACCCTTTTATTATGGAATCCTACAGAGGTCTCACCCTAGGTACCTATGAAGAACTGAGGCTAATAGGAGTTAATTGCTATTCAAGGTGCAGGTGTAAACGACTGTCCCCACCTGTTTTGATGTCAAAGTGGGTGACAGTCAGCCTGAGTTCCACAATAAAGGCCCATATCTAGGCTTGGAAAGTTCAGACAGCTCTCAAAACAGCTTCTGGGCACTTGTTAGAAACACAGCTCCACCACACCCAGTTGCTAGAAGACTAGCTTCTAGCCTGATACAGGGTTTTTCTGCTTTATGTAAAACCTTTTTGTTCCTTTGTTTTTCCAAATACATGCCCCTCCACCTTCAGGAAAATCCTACCAGCAGTACTGCTTGCTCAATAAAAGACTGTGGGCCTGAGTCATTAGTATACTTGAGAGCACACAGTTCATAGCACAATGCAGAGTATGTATAAAACACCACTGCTCTGCTGTGCAAGTGTTTGATGCCCACTTTTCACCATGTAAATGTGAGGCAATAGAAAATTGGACCTTGTGTGTTGTTTCTGGATAAAGTAGCTCCCCCTCCACTAATTTGCAAACATTTTGCATAACTTTAGTGCTTCTTTCAAGGATCTCAAAAATATTTTACAGAGACAGACTTGTAATCCTGCAGTGAGTGGGGTCATAATCATCCCTTGCCTGTAACTGTCATATGGGAGAAAGGAGGAGAAAGATTAAGGGCTCTGAATTTTCAAGGAGTTCTGAGTACCAGCAGCTCCCATTGAGTTGAAGTGGAGCTTGGGTGTTTAGCTTTTCTAACAATAAGGCAGCAGTTCTTCACATAGTTCTGCGAGTGCTTCACTTTACTGCTGTGAGTCATCTCGGGAATCAACAGCACTCTGCGGCAGCAAACCTAAGCACTTATATGTCAGTATCTACTGCAGGTCTGGAGCCTAAGAGGTCACACAGCAAGGCAGAGCTGGAAAAACTACCAAGCTGTCCAGCTCCCTAGTGTCTAACCCCAGGTTAACATCATCTTCTGGCAAGATTCCCTCATTGTCATCTGCTCTGCTTTCCGTTATTACTAATGATGACGATTCACCATTTGATTGCAGCAATAATTAAAGGGCAACCAATTCAGGGCTCCATCTTGGTAGGTGGCATATAAATACATAGCAAAATGACAGTCTGTAACCCCAAAGACATACCAGGTGTATGAACTAAACAAGAAGGTCAAGTGGAAATAAGATAACAGAAATAATAGGTGAGCTATTCGACAGCAAGTAATCCAAAATTCCCAAATTGTGTCCATCTTTTACATCCCCCAGAAGTGCTGGCCATCAGAATTTCTTATGCTTTAGAGCTTGACATGTGATGGTTTAAGTGTGAAGATTTCTTCCCCTGAAATTACATAGTCAAGCCCCTGAAAGCTTCATGTACTGATAAAAGGTTCCTGCCAAGCTACCATAAACAATTAGAGATTTTTTTTCTAAAATTAGTGGAATGTGATACAGCAGTAGGAAGATGAAACAATTTCAGTGTTGCCAACCCAAGCGTTCAAACATCATGAGTCAAGCTACAAAAAACCCGAAGTTTGATTTTAAAATTAGGAGCATAGAGAGGGTCTGTAGGTCAGATCCCACAGGCAGGATTGGTCCACAGAGTAGATTCAGCATGGAGTTAGTATGTGAGGTCAGTCTGCAAATGGGATTCAGTGCACCGGCTAACCCTGCATACTGAATTCAGCCACAGCCTAATCCCATGCTCTGGCACAATCCAACATGCAGGACCGTTTCATCCAGCCTGCAGGGCTCCCCTCAGGTCTGGAAATCTGGCAGTGGGGGAGTGGTGGCAGCATTAATTGCCCTAGGTTCCAGGGCCACAGCAATTACAGCACCCTGACTCCAAATTTCTGGACCTGTGGAGAACCAGAGGCCAGATGACATAGCCCCATGGGATGGATTCAACCTACAGGTTGGAGGTTGAGCACTACTGGTATCTAGTCTGTCTTAGTTCGTTCTTAAGTGGCGACGCAAGGGGGGGACTATTGAGCAACCTGTTACAACAAGTTGTCAATCAAGGACAGAGGCATAACAAGGCAGCAGGACACCCAGGGCAGCAGCGACTTTCAGCTGCTGCTGTGCTGCTGGTGCAATTGTGTGGGTGGAGGCAGTAGCTGTTATTCTTCTGCTTCCTCCCCACTTTGCCCCCTGACCCCAGGTTGGTGCTCAATGCTGCTGCCCCAGCACCCCTCACCTTAGTTACATTACTGATGAAGATAGGTGAATGCATGCATCCCTTCTTCTGGAGTTCCTTGATTTTATTTACCTTGCTAGTATAAAACACAGAATTATATGGAAAGTTGTCATGTACAGTTCCACTTAATTATACAGTGACTTCAACTGAGCTTGGCAATGTACAACAGCTGAGGACGTGGCTCACTGTTTTTTGCTACTGATGGATGAGGAATGATGGTGACAAAAATATTTACTTAATATCTTTTCTTTCCTGTTATTTAGTCTAATCTGAAGTACAAAGGAGACTTGAGTCCAAGGGGAATTGGGCCCTCCAGTCCTACTCACAAGCTACCTGTCAGCTATGCTGGTGATAAGTGGGGAAGTGAAATGTTAGCCCGGAACTCTTCTCCAGATGCCAAAGAACGTATGTGCCTAGGTTCTTACTGCTCAAAAAAGTTACTGTCTACAGGAACATTTGACCTTATATAGCGCATTACACAGTCCAAATAACTCAACATTGTAGTTCTGGAATTGAATTTAATTAAGAAGCTTTCTTTTGTATTTCCTTTCCTTTATTCACATTCAGTGTTAACACACTTAGATGGATCACTCATTTTATATCAGTCAGTCACTGTTTATGCTTGCCTGTAGCTATGCATCTAGATCTGCAAGCAAGGGATTAATATGGCAAATAAGCCCATGAGAAAGGGAGGTTTCTTAATCTTAGTCTGGCTGCCTAACAGCATGTAAAAGGGCTGGAGCAGCAGGCATGAACTGTATAATCCCAGTTGCCCTGGCACACTCACTTCAGAAGACAATCATAAAATTGCCTTCTGAGGCCCCCCCATACAAATGCTGCTCTAGGTAGGATACCATAAAAACAGCCATAGGGAGGCATATCAGGGACAGGCCCACAGTATGGCAGAAAATCAGGCAGGGCTACAGCCCACAGAGCAGCCTCTTTGCCTATTCCAGCCTTCTTAACCATGTGCTGGGGGAAAAAAACAGCCAAGGATTCAGAGGGCACAAAGGTGGCTTAATGCCATCTTCTTTCCTACTGAGCTGGGTGTTCTCTGTTTGCCCCAGTCTCAACCCCCTCAGTTCAAGTGTCTCAGTGCCCACAGGGGCACCAACAATGTGTTGCAATAGCTATATCTGGACCATCAAGGTTATCTTCTGTAGTGTTGTTCTTCATGTATTCCCTAGTATGCAAAACCTGTAGTACTCCATGTGCAAAACAATTCCTTCTGTTTTGTGGATATTGCTAAGTAACCAACCACACCACCTCCCATCTTACTTAAGCATAACAGATTATACGTGTATAAAGCCATCACTTTAAAAGTAGACTGGACCTGCAGCTCTATCGGCCACCACCAATCCCTTGTCTAGATTATTGCTTAACACAGTTTCAGAAGAGCCTTAGTAATCTCTCCCCTGACGGCCACAACATGGAACCATTCCTTTTACAACTGCATTAGTTCATGGGTAGGTAGAAATATGGCTTCCTTGGTGTCCTGCTAAACTAAAAGCATGCCATTGAATTGTCATCATATATTTCACAGATTTCTAGGGTCAGAAGGGACCTATTAGATCATCAAATCCAACCCTTTGCTCTGGGCAGAAAAGAGCACTGGGGTCACATAACCCCAGCTAGGTGCTTGTCTAATCTCCTTTTAAACACCTCCAAGGTAGGGGAATGCACCACCTTGCTCAGAAGCCCATTCCATATTTTGGCAACCCTCACCGTAAAGAATTTTTTCCTGATGTCCAATCTAAATTTGCTGTCCTTCAGTTTATTGCTGTTGTTTCTAGGAACCCCAAGGGGTGCCCAGATAAACAGACTATCCTCCATTCCCTGCTGACCTGCCCCCCTCCCCTGAACTCTTCAGAATCAGGGGAAAGCACTGATATTTTAAAATCTCATGAATAAAGGAGGAAGGGGATCCTGTGTACTGTTCACCAGCCCACCAGCAATAATAGTAATGAACCTGATCCACCTAATAAGTTTCCAGCAAAAAAATTCTTTTTTTGTCAAACTTTACTTCTTTTTTTAAAAAAAAATTGGCAAGCACTTTTCAATAAGAATGTCCTGACAAGGCCTACTAGTAAGAAAGCTCCAACAAGCTAAAAACAAGTTGGTTTGCAGGGTGTGAGAAAAGTTCTTTCATACCTTATGAAAATTACTGTTCAGTTGAAAACAGCCCCTTAAAATATGCATTTATTAAATGGAGTCATTTAAAATTTGCAATTTTGTACCATAAAGTAGAACATTCTTTTCCTTTGGAAATTATACAGCTTCACATAATGATGATCATTTACTGAATAAGAAATCCCACATAATGTTTCAGTTCAATGAGCAGTGAATTCACACCAATGCCATTGCCACAGTATACAAAAGAGAGAGCCTTCAGGTATTTTTTTGGAGGTTGGCAAGTTACATCCAGCAGAGAGCTACATAGAGCATTTAGAGTTTTATGCCCTTTGTCATTACTGCCTAGTCCAGATCTTGTAGCAGACAGCTACATGATGCAGTCTGATCTCTGTGGGCTGTCTCTCTTTTCTCAGCATCACCAATAGCTATTTTAAAATTCTCTAATTAGTCCAGCTGGAACTGTAGAATTTAGGCCAAGATGTTGCATTACAGAGCTCCAGGTATTATGCATACAACGCTTCCATGGAATATCTTGCAACACTCCACTAAATGACTTAATCATTTTAAGAGACAATATCCCTACTCCAAACCCACAACTAGCTTTTTGAAACTTAAGAATAGATTCAAAAATTGCCATGAGAATGAGCATCTGGCTGTTATTTTGGATTCATTCTCTTCATCCTTATGAAGAGGTATTTAGAAATGTAGCTTTTAAAAGCAGACAGGGAGAAGACTTCTACAGCTGAAAAGGGAATTTAAAGCAGTTGCTAGCTTTAGGGTCTGTGGGACATGACTTAATCCCACCGATTGTACCACCCATCTGCTGCACTTCTAAAATGACAGTAGTACAATTCATTTTTCCTTTGTACGTTGTTCCTGGGGTGGGTTCCATGATCAAAATGTCATGGCTCAGTTAGACTCCAGCAAAGACTTAATGGTGTCCTTTAAGTTAAAATACACAATTAAACATGCTTCTAGATTTCCTACATTTTTCAAGTATTTTTTATAGAAATGAGGGAGCTGCAGAGTCAGCCCCTACTTTTACTAACACCTCATGTGATCCCCCTTCCACCAGGTCCAATGGATTGCAATTTAGGACAGAACTTCAGGCCCCCATCTCTAATTTGTCATCTGAAAGCATACTCTGTTTTCTAGAAATGATTCACCATATGGATGAGGTGAATGATGAGCTACTAAAGAAGATTACAAATATTAAAATCCAGCCTCCCCAGAGACACTTCAGAGTGGAGAAGAGTCAACAAGCTCTCGTGCCCCTAACATTCGAGTCCAGCGCTGAAGAAGTCAAAGCTTGGCTGGAAGCAAAATCATTCAGCAAAGGGTAAATCTCCACATGATGCTAGATGATGCACTAAAACTTCATTAGAGAGGGGCAGCTGGGGGAAACTTCTGTTGGAATGGAAAGACCTATTTTTATAAACGTATATAGTTTGTGCGCAAGATACATGTTTGTATCCACATCCAGATACGTCCCATGAAGCCAGTAAAGGGCCCAAAGCTACCCTTTTCTCCCTCCTATATTACTCAGAGACAACAAACAATGCAAATTACAGCCCTTCTCTTCTTCCCTGGTGTGGCTCTCCCTGCAGGTCCTCCCTGCGGACTGTTGAGCCAAGACCTTTTCTTCAGAAGAGCACTTCTACTATCCTCATAAGCAGGGTGGAGAGAATAAGCCTCCTGTAATGGAGTCGGCAAGACTGACACCTGCTGACAGGGTTGGGTCACAGGAGAACACTTTACAGCTGAGAACACAGAAGCACTTTACAAAATAAAATATTTTAAGGAAGGGCTCAGGGGGACTAAGGGCCAGAATTGTAATGGTACATGCATGCCTAATGCCTGTTAGTTTGAAAATCCTAGGTGCCAACCTTGCATCTCAAGCCTGAAAAACTTGGCCTTGAGTAATTTGTTGAAGACTATAGAGGTGGTCCATAGGGGAGCTGAGATTAGAATTTATTAATTCTGGGGTCCCATGCCTGGGATGAATTGGTCCCAAACACCTCTTTCCTTGAGATTATAATTAACATCTATATAAAAACCAAACAGGAGCCACTAACTTTTAGCAATAATATTCTTAAATAGAAATATACTCATGTTCCAGAAGGCTAATTTCCTGGTGGCTTTTTAAATGGATAGTATCCTGCTATAAGGCAAACATTTACTGGTTTATCTCCTTTGTCTCTTTTCCCAATCCCATATGAGCCTAATGTAAAACAGTCATGATACCACTTGTGTTTACCTAGGACTGTTGAACACCTTGGCATACTGACTGGAGCCCAGCTTTTCTCCCTGAACAGGGATGAGCTGAAGAAAGTGTGTGGAGAAGAAGGAGCGAGGGTGTATAGTAAAATTACAGTGGAAAAAACGTTCCTGGAGGTAAGACTCTGACCCAAAAACCTGTAAATCAGCAGTCACCAACCAGCTGATCTTGATCGACTGGTTGATTGTGGAGCCTCTGACGGCTGATTTCAGTCTGTCAGAGGCTCCGCGATTGGGAGCGGCAGGCCACGCATGGCTGGGCTAAGCCACAACCCCTGCCACCGAAACCAAGCTGGGTGAGTGGGGTCAGAGGCCAGTAGCTTGTCCAGGGCCCAAGGGAGGAGGGGGCCAGGGGCAGGGCAGTGGATGGGGCAGATGTGGAGGGGGACAGGGCAGTAGATCCTGGGGCACCAAAACGTGATCTTCACCATAAAAAGGTTGAAGACTACTGTTGTAGCTAAACAACAATCAGGATCACAAATATTAGTGAGCTTCATTAAATAGGCATGTTAAGAGCATGTTTTATTCAACAAGTGGTAATAACACATCTTGGCTTAAGAGAAATAGAATCTTGTGAAAACTACAATTATGAAACAACAGGCAAAAACCTCAATGGAATAAAACAAAGAAAGGATTTACCTTATTAACTTAGTGATAGAATCATAAAACCATAGGGTTTCAAAGGGAGCTCATTGGTTATCTGATCCAACCCCCTTCACCAATGCAAGAATGCTGTCCCTAAATTCATGGGGGCTAACTTTTCTGGCAGGCATTAGCCTCACGCTCTCCCTGAGTGCCACTCCAGTCACTTTTCCTTGCCTAATCCACTGCTCAGCTTTCTGCTACCTGCCCTGTGATCCCTGACCAAGCTGCTGCTCTGTGTTCTGGTTCCTGCCCTGAGCTCCCTGCCTGATCTGCTGCTCTGCTTTCTATTCCTTGTTCTATCTGTCACTGGGCTGCCTGTCCCTTGCTCAACCTGCCACGTGCCATACACAGAGGCTACCCATGTCACTTTTGACACCTGTGCCGCAACTGGGACACACCTACCCTAAAACATCCCTGATCAAATCGAAATCTACCATGATAAAAAGATGTCAACATGTATTTTCAGATGCAACTAACCTAGCGAAACAGTAATTTCTGGAGCCGTTTTGTGAGATGCATTTAAACAATTTATAACATGTACAAGTGCTCTTGACTACCTCTATCACTTTTGTGTGGGTGGAAAATATTTTTAAAAAGGATTGTTGTCTTTACATTTTGCTTCTGTTCCAGAAAAGCAGAGGGGAGTCAGAGCTTCAGGAAATTATGAAACGCCGCCAGGAGAGAATTGATTCTGGAATTTAAAGTTCTATCTGCTTTCTTCAGCTATTAGTCCTAGTAGTACAGAAAAAGGGAATAAGAGCAATGAGCCCTGACCCAGACAAGAGATGACAGAGATCAACCACCTTGCAGTGTAACTGCCATCAAAGCAACACTTCCATGGACACTGTTATTAAGGAGGATACTCACTCACCAAGATCCTATCTCATTGGGAGAGAAATTTTAGTATTGCATGAAGTATTATTTTTATATCTATATATTTTATACTGAAATGTTATGTGCATGCAGTTCAGAACGTTAGCAGGATCAAGAGTCATTCATGTGATCCTGAATGTAACAGCACAAGGCTGGATTTCAGCAAGCAATGCACCCTCAGAGCCTATGATGTACTTACTGCTGTATGGTCTGATAAGAAGAGGGCAACTAGAAATAATGCTCAGAACAAGCAATGCTTAGAGTATCTGTACCAGACTAGTAGAAGACTACATGCCCTTCCCCCTTACACACACTTCTTCTCTTTCCCCACACTGTCTTTTGTGACAGATGTATTAAGCAATGTATCCTATCCAGTGGCAATTATGTTTCCTTCTTCTGTTCCACCCCCGTGTCTTTTCAAAGTCTTAAAATATTTTAAATAAGGACTGGGCCTGTTATTACATGACTTTACTGTGTAATGCAACTATTGTAGGCTGGGACCTCCTCTTTAAGCACACACACACACTGGGCTGTTGCTATCTTTGAGAAGCAGACAAGGGCTTTAACTAGCAAGATCAGAACAAGTACCAACCTGAAATTATTTGAAATCTCCAACTGGCAAGTCCTGTCTGACTGCATCAGTCTACACAGTGGATAGTCACGGATAAGACCTTAAGGGATCTTCAGCAATAACTAAGCACTGCTCCCCTACTGGCAAACTGCAGTGCTGCCAAACCCAAGACTTCACCAATCGGAAGTTAAGCCTATAAAACATGCTCCTGACCCAAAACACACACAACACTCTTCCCAACGTATGCACTCACAGGCCCTGCTCTAAAGTTATTATAACAATCTTGTAAATAGCAATCTGAACAGTAAACATCTAGGAAGTTTAATGCAAGTGGAAAAGGCCATATAATATGCTGTTTAAAAATGAAAAATATTTTGAAAACAAGTCTGAAAACCTACTTAATCGGGTCAGTGCCTTTGTTAATATGTCAATTCTGTTTTTCCTAACCATTATAAACACATACATCATCTACAGTGTTCAAGATTTAAGCATGAAGACATGATGCCTAGTGAAAGTAATGATATCATCTGGTAATTGTGCAGTTGTAATTTACACTCAAAAAGTCGGAACAAGTATAGCAGGGGTGGCCAACCCGCAGCTCCAGAGTCTCTTCAGAAGTTAATATGCATCTCCTTGAATCTTTGCACAAGCACACAGTGATCAGCTTCCTCAGCCGTTACGTCACATCACGTGACATGACCACTTGCAGCAAGCACATTACTCAGTTTAGACTCGGAAGTTTGGACTCCAGAGCTTCGGGTTGGCCACCTGCATTGGCGACCCATGGGGGTGCATGCGGTTGCACATGCACCTCCTGAGCTTGGCGGTGCACCCCTGCCAAAAGTGCTGCTGATGCTGCTGGTGGTACCTGCAGGCGATTGCCGCTCTCCACCTCTCACCCCCCTTGCTGCTGACACTGCTGGTGGCATCTGCCGGTGGTCGCCAACCACCGGATGGCATTCGCCACCCCCACCCTGCCACTGACACTGCTGCGGCTGCCTGCAGGAGCTCCCGCTCCCACCCCTGCCACCGACACCACCTGTGGGCAGTTGCCGAGCCCACACCCCAGCCTATGGGGGCACGCAGCATTCATGGCCACCCCTGTAGTATAGGGTACTTCTCATGGATTCACCATGCTTATCTCGCACAGTGACTAGTGACCCACTGCCTGCAGTGGGAGTTCCAGGCATGAGTTTGCAGAGGTGGGGTCCACACCTGTATATTTAATCAAACGCACCTTGATTCATGATACTGAACTGTATTCAGCTGTACATGGAGGACTGGATGCAGAGAATTGGTTTCTAAATTAAAGGACACTGATGCATTATTTTTTTCTTTAAAATGTTTCAAGTGGATGATATAAAAAGGCCTTTCAGACAGCCCTTTTTAGCACCAGTGGAACTATGATAGAGCAACAGGAAGGAAAACTCATCAGGTTGAGAGGATAATGTTCTCTTCCGTCCGACAACATACTTGCCACGTTAGCTGGAACTTGAAAAAGGATGCTGGTTTGGCTAAGGGTGAAATGAAGTGCATCATCCTGCTGAAGAGCCATTTGCTCTCAAATGGGATGGAGGGGAAATAAGGATGGAAGGCAGGTTAAATATTTAGGACACTAAGAAACATAACACCATTTTTTGGTCTTTGTGTATAAAAGAAACAAAAATCACCCCTATTTGGATATATGCTAGCAATACTCAACAACAGTTCTGCAAAGAATTGTTGCCAAAGCTGAGAGCCAAGAAAGCACCTTTTAAAATAAAAACTTCATTAAACCTCATGACAGATGTCTCTTTTTAAAATTTCCATATGACTGAGCTATGCATCTGATATATTTGTACTATCTGCAGATAAAACTATAATGTACTGTACATGAATGTAACTGGACTAAGAATAAAATGATGTAACCATGCACTGCATACGATTTGTTAAACTAGTTAAACTAGTTAAGTTATACATATAGCACTCTCTCTTTCTGTGTCTTACAGGAATATGTGTGAAAATAACAAAACATAGCAGCCAAGCATAAAGGCTGTCTTTTTCAGAACATTTTGCTGGTGTAAGACGGGTGATGTATAGCAACAGCGGAGCTGTAAAAATTAGGGACCTGCTGAATTCATGGCGGAAGTGGGGTGCGCTGTGGCTCCTTTAATCTTGCAGATTTCTCCATGCTCCCTGCTGATTGGTGGTGGGGCCCCACTTGTGGCTCACTCCTGATCAGCGGAGAGGTGAAAACTGTGTTTTTAAATATGGTGCTATTTTTGCCTCCCGTCACTGATTAACTGAGAAGCCCCAGACGGCCCTGCTGTTTGCTGCTGACTGCCAGGGAAGCTAAACAGCTCCATGTTTAAAACCATGGCTTTAGCTTCCCTGCTGATTAGGGATCCACTGATCGGCCGGGGGGGGAGTGCATGGAGGGGACATGCAAAATTAAAGGAGCTGCCACGCATGCTACTTCTGCAGTGAATTCAGTAGGTCCCTATTAATAACATATTCCTTTTAGCTTTTCAACATCTAACCTTCAGAAGCTAAATCACCAACACAGTGGTCATTCAGAATTAGAACTGGGTCTAGTCCAGTAATTCTCAACTGCGGTGATGCACGATCCCTTTAAGGGTGCCTCATGGATGTAAATGCTCTCCTCCCCACAATCCAGTACCCACCCGTGTCGCCTGCGATGGCTTCTCAGAGAACTGCTACTGCTGCCCTCCCCGGCCCTCCCCTGTCCTGGGGTGGGCAGACAACAGGTTGCAACCAGGCTTGTTCCTTCTGCTCCTCTCACGTTCCTGGGGCCAGTGGGAGGGGCTACCAAGGCAGATGGCTCCTGTCACTGCTGTGTAAGACCATGAAGGAGCAGCCTCAATGGTGTGGTTGTAATTGCCCTTACCTCCTAAGATACAGACTGGGGGTGGGGAGGGAGCAGACAGTGAAAAGGGCAGAACATGGCAGGTTTGGTCCTGCCCCCACTGTCCTTACCTTGCACCAGCTAGATCAGTGGTTCTTAACCCTTTTATCCTTTTATTCCCCTGCTCCTCCTTTCCCTACTTTTTCTGAATTGATGCTAACTCAGTGATTCTCAATCAGGTGTTGAGTAATTTAGAAAAGTTATGGAGAAGTGCTTTGAGGCTAAAAGAGGTCTAGGACAGGGTTGTCAAACTCACCCAGGCCTGTGGACCAGATGAGAATCTCTGGGCCAGTCTGGAAGCTGGATCAAGCCACGGTCGGAGCTAACAGGCTGGTTTGGTGGAGCACCACATATGCTGCATTCTCCGTTCCAGCCCCAGTCCAGGGCTTGAACTGCAGGTAGCACACAGGCTGGACCTGGCACTGCAAGCACTGCCTGCAGTGCCACACTGGACCAGCCTCAAGTGCTGGCTCAGGGGACAGTCAAGGTTGGGCCACAAGCTGTCTGTGCATGCTGGAGCCAGCATATAGGGCTGTCCAGTGGAGTGCATGCAGTGCATGCCTCATGTGGCCCTTGTGCCAAGTACAGTGCTCAGGGCACTGGGTCCAGCCCATGTGCTACAGGTAGCAAAGACCTGGAGCAGGGCCAACATATTAGTGTATGGGTTGTACCAATGCCACGGGCACTGCTCACACCATGGGGCCTGCCACAGGGCATATGCCACACATGGTACCCCACCAGACAGCTTTGCGCATTGACTCTGGCACTGCTGAAACCAGATCAGCCCCAGAGCCAATGCACAGGGTTGGTCTGGTGCAGGTACCAAAGATAGATTGCATCCCAGACCAATCGTGTGCCACAGGCACTGCCTGCTGCTTGGAGTCCAGCCCCTAAGACAAACCAGCTTCACATGTTGCACGCAGAGTTGGTCCAACACTTGTGGGCCAGATCTGGCCCATGAGCTCTGTTTGACGCCTTAGTTCTAGGAAATCCAAATGCTGCTGCCCCTGATGCCAAAGAAGGAACCTAGCTCCTCTCTGGTGGAGGCAATTTGGAGAATACACCTGAATTTGCAAGCACATAGGGTTTCCTATACTGCATTTTACATAAGCAGACTTATAACAACAACAACCAACATGGAGCTGCAATGGAAGCTAATATTCTGAACCTTCACATTTTGACAAGAAGGTTGTGGACAATGCAGTCATTATGACATTCATGATGTTTGGGAACATAACACAACAAATATTTCTATCTTTTCTTTTTTGGCTTGGGTAAAGTATGGAAGATTCTTGCAATGAAGTGTAGTGTACCAGGCAATTATGGGGGAAAGCACTCACTGCCAGAGGCTCTACAGGTGAGGTAACACAAGCTGAAGACGGGAAAGTCACGATCAAGATATCCAAGGCAGGTGCAATATCCAACCTGTTTGACCTGTTCAAAGGCCAGGTTGAAAGGCTTCAAAATGCCTCCAGCTCCCCTTTTTCTATTAAGCTATGCAACAATCTGGACAGGGCCATTGAACACCTAATGTAGGCCAATATCACCATATTGAAAAATGGATACAGCTAGGGGAACAATGGACAAAGTCTTTCTAAAATATAGCTGACTTCCTTTTCCCCAAAGTCCAGGGTTGATCCAGTGCAAAGATCATAAGCAGGACAAAGACATTATCACACAGGGGAGGGGGGGAAAAGGCCAGCAGGCACAGTCCTGGTTTTGCTTTACAGTTGCTCAACAGCCAAACACCCACCATGGACATTCACTGCCCCACAGCTGTACTCAGTCATCGACTGAGCAGTCTTGCTCCAGCCATAGTAAAGATATGGGCTGGTTCTGCATCAGGGGATGCTACAGACAGGGCCAGCTCTGCAAAGCGTAGACATCTCCAGACTTCCCTCGCTACATGGCATATCCTTTCACCATGCCCTTTGAAGGGACCAGACCCATAGGAGCACCTGGAGTCGCCTCTTGGGAATTCACTGGTCTTTTTAAGAACACAGTGGCTTGGAGCCACTTAGACCTGCACTGTTTTCCCCAAACCGTTCCCCAGAGCATTAACTTCCCCTACTAAGAAAGGCACATCCAAGCTCCTCACTCAAGGCCTGTTCCCTTTATCCCCTGCCCAATGAAGACGGAGCTGGACCCCACTTGCAATGGGGCACCAGTCCACCCCAGATTCCAGCAAAGGCAGATGCGCTCCCCTTACCTCAGTGGGGAAAAAACCCCGCAGGCCTGAAGGAAGAGTGGGGGAAGGGGGCCTACTCTCAGCCCCAGTCAAGCAGAGAGGGGCTATACCCCCAATCCTGGAGGTGGGAGCACTGCTTCCTCCCCACCTGGGAAAGGGGCTGTTCCCTTGTCCCTATGCCCCACAGCATTGCCAGATAAAAAACCATCATATTGGAAGCTCAAAATGATCATATTTGCTCAAAAACTATCGTACACCAAAGAAACATGCAAATAAGCATGCAAATAAGTCGCTGTCTTAATGACTTTCTATTGCTCACTCTAGTAGCCAGTGAGTGAGTGAGAGCTAGGGGTTATCAAAGTTGAAGTGTTTCTTTATTTGGAGGCAAGCTCTCCTAAGAAAGCACTGACAGCCAACCCAAAAGTCAGTTAAGACTCCCTGGGAGTGACTTGGGTTTTCCTGCATCGATGAGCTAAAAAATGACACATTTTGAACGCTTTTACTATTATGGATCCTATATTGTAGGATCAGGCTTGGCAACCTGGTGATTGTAGCAAAGGAAAAAGCTGATCTCTTCATTGAGTTCTTTGCCTCCATATTTCTGAGCAGGGACTGAGACAACTCCACCACTTGGATTACGG